TGGCAGGGGTGGGATGGGAAGAGTAGTTGTTTGCCTGCAGGTGTGGGCATTCCTGGCCATGTCTCCCTCTGCTTTTTTGTAGCTCTGGTGGTTCTCATAGCCACAAATTGTGCATAGCACCCACATCCTGAAATGTGTGACAAGAAATTACGTAGTGACCCACAGTCATTCTTTTGACATGCCCAGGGAGTATTTATGAAATCCGGTGGGTTCTGGGGAGAGGTGGCTTGAGGAGAAAGGGAAACTCAGAAAGATGGGGAGCGACTCCAGTTCCGCCTTGTTCTGCCAAGTTACAACCAGCTTCTGGTTTTTTGGGAACAGAATACCTGCTGTCCTGGAGCTGGGAGTTTCAGAATTCTTTTTTGGGTAAAAGGAGTGGGATGGACTGCGTCCCCTCGAGGTTTTTTTTTCCCAGCTCTGGCTTTCTGTGGTTTCTTTCTGCCCAAAATCCAGGAATGGAGAGAGTCACAGTTGTACTCCTTATTGTGGAAATTCATTGAGATAATCAAAATATGCTGAAGGCATAAATGATGGGGCACAATCATTGGGGAGTGTGGTAAGTTGGGGTTTTGGAGAGGGTAAGTTTTGCATTGGGTCTGAAAGGATGGAATGTGGGGTGGTGAGCCTCAATTCTGATCTGCCGTGATTCTGTACTCTAATCCTGTTCCCTGTCACTTGAGATGAAGTGCTGCCCTGGCTGGTGTGGCTCCATGGATTGAGTGCCAGGACTGTGAACCAAAGGATTGCTGGTTCAATTCCCAGTCAGGGCACATGCCTCGGCTGTGGGCCAGGTCCTCAGTAGGGGGTGCACGAGAGGCAACCACACATTGATGTTTCTCTCCCTCTTTCTCCCTCCTTTCCCTTTTCTCTAAAAATAAATAAATAAAACCTTAAAAAAAAGGACCAAGTGCTCATGGTCAATGTCAGCAGTAGCATGTGCCCCTTTGCTATTGTCAGCACTCTGCAGCTTACAGAGCCCTTTGCTATTGTCAGCACTCTGCAGGTTTGATCACTGGTTAATGTTAAAGACATCTGAGCTTCCTGACACCAGAGCTGCTATTTTACTCCTTTGACAGTCGACTGGGTAAAGAACAGAGTCCTGGATGGCAAAGGCATCAGCACTGGACACTTCTTCCTAGCCATTTGCCCTTGGGCAAATTGCTTACCCTGCTGATCCTCAGCTTCCTTAGAAGACCATCCTGAGCACTAAATAACATAAGATGTATAAATGGCAATAAGGTGGGTCTAAATAAATGCTGTCTCGAAGAAGTTGTTAGTCACCTGGCTGTTGGGTTGCAGAGCCTAAACTTGACCTGGGTTGTCCACCCACAGATTGACACCTAGGTCTAGTATGTTTTCAGCAATGCACTGAGTCATCTTTCATTGTACGCTGTGACATGTCCAAGGTGGAGTCTGTATAACCCAGTGATGGACTTGAGTGTAAAAATGGTTAACACATTCCGTTCATCCCCTTTGGTTATTGCAGACTCCTAGGTGGTGCTATACAGATAGCTTTGCCTTCAATTCTTCCTAATCCATTCATGGCTTCAGCATATATGCCTTAAGCTTTTACCAATTGTCAAGCACCATGGTCTCTCTATTAGTGATTTTTAACATCTTTGGTAGTTACAGACCCTTGATAGAAAGCTGTAGTCCTTCACCTGGCTAGCGTGGCTCAGTGGATTGAGTGCCAGCCTGTGAACAAAAAAGGTCGCAGGTTCAATTCCCAGTCAGGGCACGTGCCTCGGTTGCAGGCCAGGTCCCTGGTAGGGGGCACATGAAGGGCAACCACATATTGATGATTAACCAGGGGGTCGCCAGTTTGATTCCCAGAAAACTGTAGCCCTTCGCCTCAGAACCTTTTTCTAACTTTTGTTATTTTTGTTGAACCATTTAGAAGTTGTACTTATGCAGCACTAAGTATTGCAGAATGCATTGCCTAAACATGCACATTCTCACAGTCTGAATAAAGACTGGTTTAATTATTTATTTATTTGGTTTTAAATTTATTTTTCTGAAGATAGCATGAGGAAGGTGTTAAAACTGGTGTAATAGCTCAGCTGAGTAAGTATTCCAGATTTGGGGGCAGGATGAAGAGGGGGATATTCAGACCCTTCACCAGAATCCCCCCAACTTGATCACAGCGGATTAATGATGTGCTTTATGGATGTGGTTACGCCAGTGACACCAGCCTGATGGGTCTTTCTTCCTGTACCAGATCCCATTGAGTTATCTGGTCCCCTTGGCTGACGAAGAACCATTAGGTGAGGAGCACTGCCATCATCCAGGGTGATGCTCTTCAAGCAGTTAGCCAACCTATCAGGTTGTGGAGATGCCATTTTAAATGTTAACAATAACTTCATAATATGATACAAATCCTAGACCTTTGTCAAATTTCCTTAACTGTTCAAAAACTATTTTTATAGCGTTTTAAGAAAAGAGCCAATCAAAGATTTTGCATTTGGTTGTTGCTTTTCTTTAGTCTTTCTAAATCAATAAAAGGCCTTTTTTATTTTTTTATGACATTGACTTTTTAAAAGACCAGACCGGTTAGTTATCTTGTGGGATGTCCTGTCTTCTGGACTTATCTGATTGTTTCCTCATGGTGTGGTTGAGCGCATTCCTCTTTTCCTTATATTTTCTGTAAACTGGAAGTTAGGTGTAAAGGCTTTTCACCTAACTCGATTCATTTAAGTCAAACACTTTTGGCAGGACTACTTCACAGGCGATGTGTAATTCATATGTTGCCATATTGGGAAGCATATGCCTGGTTGTCCCTCTGTCAGCAGTGCTGGGTTTGATCACTGGTTAATGTTATAGATCTCTCCCTTATCAAGGTACATTAGGAAGTAACCCATTGGGAGGTACTTTGGTTCCATGGGGCTGTCCTCAACACCTTTCACCACATAGTTTCAGCATTCGTTGAAGATCCTTGTCTTATAATGAAATTGCAAGATGGTGCTTGTCTAATCTATTATCCTTCCTGCACTTATTCACCAGTGTTCTACTGTAATCTCTACACAATTTTATTTATTGATTACATGTGTGATCATACAGCTTCAGGTGTTTAAAGATGCATCAGAGCCTAGCATGGCTCCTGGGTTTAGAATGCCTGCTCTAAAAGAGCAAAGCGCCTGACCGTCAGGTTTGTGTGGATGGGGAACTGTAGATGAGCTCTTCATAGTCTCCTTTTATCCCTCTGGGTAGTTGCAGGAGAATGAAATTACCCATCACCAATGATAGCTCATGCCACCCCTGACAACAAGAGAGGAAACAACTTAAGCTTTTAATCTTCTAAGCCCTCAATACAGTGACTTGGTAATGGACTCCAAAGTCTGAGGAGTCCCCTCTTCCAGCCCTTTGTGTCTGTTGCACCTCATTCCCTCAATAGGCAGACCAGGGAGCTGGCCCAGGCAATTCCTAAGATTTTTACTAGCCTTAGTATCCTTCTAAATATTTTATTACCTCACTTGCCAGTTAAATTACTCAACCTCCCACCCCTTCATTTGAGCTTTGTTTTCCACATTCATTACATCTTAAAGTCACACTGCTGTAACTCTATCGGAGTGTCCAGTGGAGTTTATTGTTGGCAGTGTGATAGTCCCTTACATTTGTGTAGTGCTTTTACTTTATGAAGCATTTTTTAAATATGTCACTTTTATTAGATCCTCAGGAAGTGGACATAATACTCCCACTACGTTTTTCCTTGGAGTCTTAGAGCTGGGGGGTCATTTCTAGCTTATTCTTGTCACTGAGGTGAAAGGGCATGAAGGCCACTCAGCTCTTTTGTGATGGACTTTCACCAAACACAGTTCTTAATAGCATTGACTTCCTGTGGCTCTGTCCCAGCCCACAGTGGCCTGTGTGCCCTGCTGTTGCCCTTCTCCCTGGCGAGTACTCTGGTTGCCTTCAGGATCCACAGCAGAGCAAATATCCCATCCTGTCTCTTGAGTAGTGTGCGTGTCACTATGGCTGCCTCTCCTTGCTTCCTCTCTTGATGCCACTTTACATCTCCACAAAACACTCTGTATCTGGTGCTTTGAATACTCCTGGTTTTGAGAACCACGTGTTCTGGGTTCTCTCGTAGATTTCTTTCTGCGTACTGTGTTTGTGCATAGTACTTTCAACATAATTCTTTCATTCAACCCACTTGGAAAACCTTGAAGGTATGTACCACTCTCCTCATTTTATGGGTGGACAAACTGAGTTAAGAGTTTTATTGTCACAAAGAGTTAGGGGCAGGAGGCAGAGGTTGAGTCAGGAAGTGGTTGGGCCAGGGCAGCAAAGGTAAATGGACTAAAGTCCTCTGTGCTCATCTTCTGTGCTCCCTCCGGGGGCCAAGCCTTCATGAGCACATTGTATTCACAACCAGCTGAGTGTTCCTGCACATTGGTTTCTTTGTGAGCCCAGCTGGGACAGTCCACCATTGTTGGTAGCTGTCCTAGGTGGGTGAACAAAACCCAAAGCACAGCACAGCCCAAGGAAACATCTATGAAGCCAAACACCAGAACTCATAATGTGGGTACTAACTGAATTTTGGTAAAGAACATCAATACTCTTAGTTTTGAAACCTGGAGGACCAAACAGAAGGAGTCTCCTGACTGTCTATGGCCATGAGTAGCTGTGCAGCCTGTGCCCTGCATAGCTGAGAGATTTTCTCCATGGTGGACATTGTAGATGTGTGTACATATCATAATTATCATAACCAGCTGATGGAAGGAAAAGGCCTTGAGGCAGGACTGCTTTCCCAATCCCACAGCCTGGGCTCCGGGCAGCTCTGCCTGCCACTCTGCCAAGCAACCCACTCTGGACCCCAGTTTTCTCATGTGTAAAATGAGGGGGTTGGACTAGGTGGTCAGTAAGGTGCTTTCACTCTGCTATTACGTGAGCTTCATAAGAGCTAGTCAGTTGTTGCTGCTTGCTGGGGCAGGCAGCCCTGTGTGAGGCTGCCACCTCTGCCCTCTGCTGTATCTGTTCTTGACTCCATGTCTGGTCTCCAGGGAACAGAAACCACCACCAGTGAACAGAGACCCATCTGAGTTAAGGACACCATGGCCATGTCAGCACCACTGCGGAGTCTAGAGGAGGAGGTGACTTGCTCCATCTGCTTTGATTACCTGCGTGACCCTGTGACCATTGACTGTGGTCATGTCTTCTGCCGCAGCTGCACCACTGATATCCGCCCTGTCTCGGGGGGGCAGTCTGTCTGTCCCCTCTGCAAGAAGCCTTTTAAGAAGGAAAGCATCCGCCCCGTGTGGCAGCTGGCCAGCCTGGTGGAGAACATTGAGCGGCTGAAGGTGGACAAAGGCTGGCAGCTGAGGAATGCAGCCCAGGAGCAGCAGGATGTGAAGCTGTGTGAGCGGCACCAGGAGAAGCTGCACTATTTCTGTGAGGATGACAGGCAGCTGCTGTGCGTGCTGTGCAGGGAGTCCCAGGAGCATCAGCCTCACAAGGCCGTCCTGCTGGAGAAGGCTGCCCAGCCCCACAGGGTAAGCCCTCTTCAACACTGGGGGGCTGTGCTCTGCATCCACCGGGAGGCCAGGCCTGGCCAAGACCCTGTTGAAGGCTCCTAGCCGGCCAAGGACTCAGCCTGAGTCTACCCTATTGTCCCAGCCTGGAGTGTGCACATGTCCCTACTGCTTGTCTCTCTGTAGGAACAAATCCTGAACCACCTGGGCACTCTAAGGAGAGACAGAGACAGAATTCAGGGCTGTCAGGCGAAGGGAGAAGCAGACATCCTGGCTGCGCTGGTAAGTGAGGCTATTAAGGAGGAGCCCAGAGGCGATGGGCTGGTGCAGTAGGAACTTTTGTACTTGCAGAGATGCAGTGGGAGGCCTGCGGGTGGCTCAGCCCTGTCAGCCTGAGCTCTGTGGCTTTGGCCTGCATCCTGGTCTGACAAGTGAGTGGGTTGCCTAGATATCAGCTAAGGTCCCTATTTCTCTGTAACTCACTTCAGCTGCAGGGCCAACTCTGCGGGGGAGAGCCACAGTGAGGGGAACTAAGGAAGGCCTGGCTCCATTCTTGCTTTCAAAGAGGAGGAGAAAGACGTGATTCCTATGGGAGTGGGGAGCCAGAGGGCTTAGGAGAAGGGCACTAGCTCCAGGATAAGAACTAAGGGGAGGACTGAGGATGCTTCCTGGGCCCTGCACCCATGGCTGTCCATATTTGGGAACAGACAGCACCTTGTGTGCTTTGGTAGAAATAGTATCAGGATGGAAAACTGAGAAGCAGATTTCAGTTTTCTTTGGGAAGTGGGCATTGCAGAGATTTTGGGCCCAGGCCTGACCCTGAGAAACTGGGCCCTGGGAGAGGGAGAGGCTGAAGCAGGAGACAGCTCAAGTTCAAGGAGCGCTTCTAGGCCCTCAGTGTATGGATACAACCCAACCTGAGACAACTGGAGGACCAAATACACTGGCCACATCCCAGCCTGGACTTGGCAGTGAAATTCAAAGGCAGGAATAGTCATGGCTCCTGAGTACAAATGTTGCACAGCCTCACTAAGGGAGCAAGATATGGCCCTATGTGGCAGGGATGGAGCACACAAATATTTTGTACAGAATAGGGGTGCTGAAGAGAGTACTGGTCAGACTTGGATGAGAGTAAGCTTCCTAGGAGACATGACATACAGAGATTGGTGTTTGGGAGGGAAAAGTATATTAACTCACAGTTCCTCAAAGAGCCCTGGAATATCGTGATTTACCTAGAATAGATAATGAGCTGACCAGTCAGCAGAGTTAGGGTTCTAGTCTTGTGGCTGGTTGAACTGAACTGATTCATGGACTGTGTCTTCTTCAAGGATGGCAGGTTGGCCCAGGAATGCTTGAAAGCACCTCCCCTCCCAGCCTGAACACTGTAGAATATGTGAGTGGGGGTAACCACAGAAGAAGAGCCAAACTTGTGTACTACTAACACCAGGTCCTGGAGGGATTTCCCACCACAAGGCAGAGGCATCAGCCCTTTCTCATTTCCCACCTGCAGAAGCAGCTCCAGGAGCAGAGGCAGCGCATCATAGCTGAGTTTGAGCAGGGCCACCGGTTCCTGAAGGAGCGGGAGCAGCACTTGCTGGGCCAGCTGGCAAGGCTGGAACAGGAGCTCAAAGAGGGCCAGGAGAGGCACAACAGCAGGGGCGTCTCCGAGCTCACTCGGCTGGCAGGGCTCATCTCTGAGCTGGAGGGCAAGGCGCAGCAGCCAGCGGCAGAGCTCATGAAGGTGAGAGACTTTTCCTGGGCAGGGAGGAAAGTCCTGCCCTGCCACTCATCTGCAGGACCTCGAGACAGTCACTTCCCTTGGGGGGGGGGGGGGGCTCTGTTTCTCTTCTGAATCATGGAGCTGATAATTCTGCTTCTCCCACTTATTCTGTTGGTTGCTTGAGCATAAAATGAGATGACTGCCATGGTGTCACTTCATAAAGGAAATTTTCCACAAAAGAAAGTTAAAAAATATTAAAATGGAAGAAAAGGTTATTATGGTGTTCATTATTATCTCCCGTTCTCATCACTACCATCATGAGCCTGTTTTCTAACAAGTCACTGGCAGAGACCTGTCCAGTGGAAGCTCTTGATGGTTTTGGAGATGAAGCTGTAGAGGTTGGGGGTGGTTAAGGGAGGGCTGATTGACACCTTCTCTTAGGTACCCTTAGGGTCAGAGCAGCGAGGTGGTCTCTGGGACTGTGGAATTACCCTCGGGGGAAAAAAGAGGAAGCAGGTGAGTTGCCTCTGGAATGCTTCCTGATGGAGACAACTTTGCTCCTGAGAAAGGGAAAGTCTTAGACTGGAGAACAGGTCTCCATGTTGAAATGACCCCACAAGTCCATCCTCCTGTGTCCTCTCAGAGGAGTCTTACCATGCTGGATAGGGCTCAGCAGCCTGCAGAGGAGCCTGCTAAGTCTTCCTGCTCTCCTCCACTTGCATGGCTCAGGTGCTTTGGCCTGTGTCAGCAGCATAAATGCTACCCCAGCCAGTGGCAGGGCAAGCCAGTAGCTGGCAGAGAAATGGCAGAGCACATTCTCCTGGATTCTGTGCCAACCTATACCTCACAGACAGGTAGCTTTCTCCTGCCTCTCCTTCACTGTGTATTCAGACTCAGGACTAGAGAGGATTTTAGAGTGCTTGCAGTGCAGTCCCACACTGATGAAGTCACTGAGGGCCAGAGAGGGGAAGGGGTCTGTCCCAGGCCATAGGGCAGGTCAGAAGTCTGTCAAAGCTCCAGCCCCAGGTCCTCACTCCCAGGCTTCTGTGGCCTTACTCTTCTTTTCTCTCATTTTATCCAGTGTGTGTTTTGGCTCCATATTTCCTCCAGATGTCATTCTGTTCCCAAAAATTTCTCTCAGACTCTGACTGGGTCACTTGCTGCCTCTCCCCTTCTACCTCCTCTTCTCCTCCTGGTTCAGGGACAGGCGTCTTTTCCTCTGGGTGCCACTGGGCAGATGTGTACTTGTTTGTGGAGCAGAGGGACATGATGGGGTGCTGGTGGGCTGACATGCAGTTGCATGTGCCCTGAGAAGAGCCTCTCACCATGGCACTCAAAGGAGCTGCATGGGCCCAGCCTTCAGTGCCTGCAAGACCGCTCTGATTAAAGATTTCCCTGGGGTAGGTGTCAGGGAAGAGAGAGAGTTAGGTGTCTGCTTAAAACTAATATGTGAAACATTGAACTGGTGGGTTTTGTCTGTTTTGATTTTGCTGCTAGGGAACTGGACAGCTAACTCCTTAATTGTCATTAATCTTTTCCCAGAGATTATTTGACTGTCTATGGAGAGTAAGAATGAGATCCTATTAAGATAGGGGCTCTGATCCAAAAGTCCAATAGAGAAATATAGGTGAGTGGGAAGCAGCAGGATAAAAGATGTAAAATAGAGTTTTTGACAAAGGGGATGGAAAAGGAAAGGAAGATCTCTGGACTGGGAATTTTGTGAAGATATTAAAGGGAATAGGGAGATAGTGGCAGACAAAGAGACACTGACATCCTCTCCAGTTCAGCCCTGGACATACCTTGCAGGGTTGAGTGGCTGCTCACACCTCTGCCTCTCCCACTGTTGGTCGCCTCCTTGCCTGTGAAGGGCCCCTTCATGAGTGCCCTTTGTTCATGCCCAGGTGTGTGCCGAGCCAAGAGTTCCATGATTTGTTTGTTGCCTGTTGCTCGACAGCTCCAGAAGCCTGGATGTGGCTGCAGGTTGCCTCAGATTCCCCAACTCCGCCTTCTGTATTCTTTGGAAGACGGGTTCCTGCACTGGCCTCTGGGTCCCATTCTCTCTGGGTACCCCACCCCCTTTATTCCTTAGACAGCTCTCACTGCCCATTTATTTGCCCTGTTATACCACATATCTCTGTAGATGTGTTGGCACAAACTGTCTCATGCTTGTCTCCCAGTCTTCAATCTGGCTTGGACTTAAGTTTTTTTTTAAAGTATATTTTATTGATTATGCTATTACAGTTGTCCCATTTTTTCTCCCCTTTATTCCCTGCCCCCCTATAATCCCCTCCCACCAGCATTCCCCCCACCTCCACCTTAGTTCATGCCCATGGGTTGTACAAATAAGTTCTTTGGCTTCTCCATTTTCTGTACTATTCTTAATCTTCCCCTGTCTATTTTGTACTTACTATTTATGCATCTTATTATGCATCCCTGTACCTTTTCCCCCATTCTCCCCCCTCCCTGCTGATAACCCTATATGTGATCTCCATTTCTGTGATTTTGTTCCTATTCTAGTTTGCTTAGTTTATTTTTGGTTTTGGTTTTGTTTTTTGGTTCAGTTGTTGATAGTTGTGAGTTTGTTGTCATTTTACTGTTTGTAGTTTTGATCTTCTTTTTCTTAGATAAGTCCCTGTAACATTTCATGTAATAGGGGCTCAGTGATGATGAACTCTTTTAACTTTACCTTATCTGGGAAGCACTTTGTCTGCCCTTCCATTCTAAATGATAGCCTTGATGGATAAAGCAATCTTCAATGTAGATCTTTGCCTTTCTTGACTTTGAATACTTCTTGCCAGCCCCTTCTTGTCTGTAAGGTTTCTTTGGAGAAATTAGCTGATAGTCTTATGGGAACTCCTTTGTAGGTAACTGTCTCCTTTTTTGTTGCTGCTTTTAAGATTCATTCCTTATCATTAATCTTGGGTAAGTTAATTATGATGTGTCTTGGTGTGTGCTTCCTTGGGTCCAACTTCTTTGGAACTCCCTGAGCTTCCTGGACTTCCTGGAAGTCTATTTCCTGTGCCAGACTGGAGAAGTTCTCCTTCATTATTTCTTCAAATAAGTTTTCAATTTCTTGCTCTTCTTCCTCTCCTTCTGGTACCCCTATGATTTGGATGTTGGAACGTTTAAAGTTGTCCCAGAGGTTCCTAAGCCTCTCCTCATTTTTTTGAATCCTTGTTTCTTCACTCTGCTTTGGTTGAATGTTTATCTCTTCTTTCTGCTCCCAATTACTGATTTCAGTCCTAGCTTTCTTCCCTTTACCGTTGGTTCCCTGTATATTTTTCTTTATTTCACTTTGCATAGCCTTCACTTTTTCCTCCATTTTAAGAACATACTTAACCATTTCTGTAAGCATCCTAATTACCAGTGTTTTGAACTGTGTGTCTAATAGGTTGGCTATCTGTTCATCGTTTACTTCTATTTTTTGGAGCTTTGATCTGTTCTTTCATTTGGGCCATATTTGTCTCATCATGCCTGTTACATTGAAAGGGGCGGGGTCTTAGGTATTCACCAGGGTGGGGCAATGCAGGTTGCTATGTTGTGGTACTCTCTGTGGGGGAGGGGTCAGAGAGGGAACAATGTTACTTGCTTGGCTCTCAGCCTGCTTTCAGTCACTTCCCCCGCTATCCACAAGCAAATTGGGCCTTTGTAGTGCTGATTCTTTGGAGGGGGGTGTTTGCGTACATACTAGGACTGGATGGGTCTCCAATGGACTCTCCTGTGCTGCTGGGAATTTCTCCCACCACCACAGCCCCGACAGGTCCCACAGGTTTTTACAGCCAGAGGTTTTGAGGGGTTTTTTTTTTTCCCCCACACGGGAACCCTGGGTTGCGCAGTCTGTCTTGCTCCCCGCATGTTCTTCCCAGTTTATCCACACACAAATGTGGGACTGCCTGGTCTGCCAGCCACCGCCTTGCTGTGTGTCCTCTATGCCCCAGCTGCCCATCTCCACCTCTCCTACTGGTCTGGATGAATGTTTCTTCTTTAACTCCTAGGTTGTTGGACTTCCATACAGTTTGATTTTCTTGCAGTTCTGGTTGTCTTTTGTTTTTAAATTTGTTGTTGTCCTTCTTTTGGTTGTGCGAGGAGGCAAAATGTATCTACCTATGCCCCCATCTTGGCCAGAAGATCCTAGACTTGTTTTGAGGGACAGGCTAGAAGAATTTGCCAGAAACTGAAACACTTCTGGGCAGTTGCTTTCTAGTAGGGGCAGGATGCATCTGTGACCTCTTACATGTCCTCCCTACAGCAAAGCCCACCTCTTCCTGAGACATGCTGAAACAGTCATCAGCAGCCGCAACTTGGTGATTCCATTTGATTCCCCAATGTCACCCCATCCCATCCCCTTTAATTCTCCCCTCTGTTCTTCCTGTAACCCTCATGTATTTCTGTAATATAATGTATTTGTTATATTGACTGTTCACCCACTGCTTCCCTACTACAAGGTCTGCTCTGACAAGAATAGAGATTTGTATTGGGTTGGCCAGAAAGTCCCTTAAGGTTTTTTTGGTAAAATAAAAATCACATTTTTTATTGTCACCAATAACTTTATTGATTTGGATATTTTGAGCATGTTGGCTCTCTCTCATGTGGTATAATGTTGATTGTTCTCAATTAGTGTCTTGGTTTGATCACTATCAGCTTTAACTTGTCTACCCTGCTGTGGAGCGTTGTCCAGTAAGAAATCTCCAGCATGAAACTTCACAAACCACTTTTGACATGTTAGATCAGTCACAGCACCTTCTCCATAACATTGCACAAATCTTTTTTTTTTTTAAGACTTCATTTATTTTTAGAGGGGAAGGGAGGGAGAAAGAGAGGGAGAGAAACATTAATATGTGGTTGGTTGCCTCTTGTGCACCTCCCAGTGGGTACCTGGCCCACAACCCAGGCATGTGCCCTGACGGGAATTGAGCTGGTGACCCCTTAGTTTGCAGGCTGGCACTCAGTCCACTGAGACACCAGCCAGGCTGCACAAATCTTTTTTATTTGCGTTTCCGTTGCGCTTTTGCCTTCCTTGAAATAATAAAACATAATATGCTGAAAATGCATATTTTCTTTCATCTTCAATATTAAAATGTCCACACAAACATTCACCAGTGGTGATCTTTTTTTAAATGCACACTAATATGACAGCTGTCACAGTACAATCTAACAAAATTGCTTCAAATGAAATTAAAGACAACTAAGTGTTACTAGAGCCATCTTACAGAAAAAAATGAACTTTTTGGCCAACCCAGTTATCTCTCTCTCTTTTTTATACTACTGTAGTCCAGGCTTCTAGAGCAGTGCCTGGTATGTGCGAAGCACTTAACATCTGTAAATGAGTGAAAGGAAAAGAAAACTTGAGCCAGGTTACTTCCATCTGGTTTCACTAACTTCAAGGGATATTGTCCTCAGCTGTGTAGTCAAAGTTGGGCTCACCAGGAAGCAATTTTCTTTTTTTAAAGGACATAGCCCCCAAATTATAGTCAATGCTTCCTTTTACATCCATTTGGCTAGAACTTAGTCTTATGACAAGACCTGGTTAAAAGTGAATCTGGGAAATGTAGTTTTCTGATGAGGTCTATTGTTAGAAGGGGAGAATGGATCCTGGAAGTCACAGCCACATGAAAGCCTCCCTTTGGTGCTTTACAGCTATATATTGAACAAAGTTTAAACTCCCTGCTATGCCTGTTCAGTCCTTCATGACCTTACCCTGCCTCCTTCACCAAGCCCTTTTCCACCTTCCCATTCTTCACTTGACCAGCGCTTTCTCCTTCAGCTCTCAGCACAAATGTTGTCACCTTGGAGAAGTTGGCCCTATCATCTCTGCCCTGCACCACCACCACCCGCCTCTCCCGCCCCCAGTCACTCTGTCATATATTTTTTTGTTGTTGTTATCATTTTATTCAATGCTACCACTAGAACATCAGCTGCATAAGGAAGGTACTGTGTCCCTGACTCTGATACAGTGTTGCTGCAGATGAATGAAGTCTGAATCAGATTGATCCTTGTGCTTTCTTTCCTCCAGGACACCAGAGACTTCTTGAACAGGTAAAAGCTTCCTCTCTGAACTGTGCCTCACTCATTCCCCTGGGCCTGTGTTCCCTCCTTTTTCCCTGACCATGATCCATTTGAATTACTGGGGAGTGAAATAGTGCCAAAGGTACCCAAAGACCATCGTTCCACCTGGGAAGCAAGAACACAACCGTGAACTAGAGATTTGCTGTCCACTGAAGCAAGGTCTCTGTGGAGTTCCAACTCCTTGGCCTGCTCTCCTTGTCTGAGATAGGATAGGTAGCTAGGGCAGAAAGGTGGCTCAGTAAACTCAAGTGCACCGGAGGGTGAGTCTGCTGATGGTTGCAGTTTACTTAGTGTCTTTGGGCCCATTTCTCTATCTGATGGGGGTCAATCATACTTTTCCCTTTTTACTTCATATTTGTCATGAATATTGAGAGAAATGCAAGAGGAGCTAAGGGTATGTCTGCCATCTTCTCAGGTATCCACGGAAGAAGTTCTGGCTTGGGAAACCCATTGCTCGGTTGGTTAGAAAAAGGACGGGAGAATTCTCAGAGAAACTCCTGTGTCTGCAGCGAGGCCTGAGAGAATTTCAGGGTAAGGGTTGGGGAAAACCTTGGGGTGGGAGCCAAGAGTAGGACTGGCACTCTGAGGAAGGGTCCCTTTCTTCTACCCTCTGAGGGCCTCTGTTTATGTGACAAATGAGCCTGTAAATTTGCTGGGCCTGAGGGTCATTGCTTTCCTTTTTTTCTCACCAGGGAAGTTGCTGAGAGACTTGGAATATAAGACAGGTGAGTATCCAAAAGATTGTTTCTGGATTTATCTCAGATAAAGAATACTGTCTCCACAGAGGTTGTGACTGTCCCCTGGTTCCCCAAAGAGTCCCTTCTTTTATGCCACAGGGAGAATTTTCCAGCTGCCAACCTCAAGCTCCCTTTGCATTTTCTGACCAATCACTACTCTTCAGGCTGCAGGAGAGGCCTTCACAGGGTAGTCTGGCCCTTCTCACCCTGTGTTTGATTATTCTTGCCTCATAGGTCCTGCAACCAGTCCCTTCACTGTGTCTTAGTTTCTTCTCATCTGCACGATCACATGCCTCCTAAAGCCAGTCCCTCTTGGCCCTGCCGTAAGGTTGTGCCCTGCATTTTCTGAGGGGCCCTGTGCAAGTGGACCAAAATATGAATAGCTCCCTGGGATTGTGCAGTGTGGCAGCCCTGCCATGGACACCGTGGAGACTCATGGTTTCTTCCAGCCCATCTGGTGACACTGTTACCTCTTTTGTTCCCACAGTGAGTGTAACTCTGGACCCACAGTCAGCCAGCATGTACCTGCAGCTGTCAGAGGACTGGAAATGTGTGACTTACAATAACAGCCTGTACCAGAGTACTTACCTGCACCCCCAGCAGTTTGACTGTGAGCCGGCAGTGCTGGGCAGTAAGGGCTTCACTTGGGGCAAGGTCTATTGGGAAGTGGAAGTTAAAAGGGCGATGTGGTCTGAGGATGAAACAGACAGGGACAAGGAGGATGATTGGGAAGAGGAGGAAGAGGAAGAGGAGACTGTCTATGTGGATGGATATGATGATTGGGAAACAGATGAGGATGAGGAGTCCTCCTTGGGGGATGATGAGGAAGAAGAGGAGGAGGAGGAGGAAGTTCTGGAAAGCTGCATGGTGGGTGTGGCCAGAGACTCTGTGAAAAAGAAGGGAGAGCTCTCCCTGCAGCCAGAGGACGGGGTGTGGGCACTGCGCCTCTCCTCTTTGGGCATTTGGGCCAACACCAACCCTGAAGTTGAGCTCTTCCCAACAGTGCGGCCCCGGAGAGTGGGCATTGCCCTGGATTACGAAGGGGGCACTGTGACTTTCACCAACGCAGAGTCACAAGAACTTATCTATACCTTTACTGCCACCTTCACCCGGCGCCTGGTCCCCTTCCTGTGGCTCAGGTGGCCTGGAACACGCCTCCTGCTGAGACCCTGAGCATCCTTCCTGATGCCTTTCTCTGGCCCTCACCTATTTTGGAATTCCAGGACTGAAGGGGGAAGGAGGTGCCTGAATCAAGGGAGAGAAGGTACCCTGAGTCCTCTGCTGATCCCCTCCCTGTGGGTGTGGCCCCTGAGACTTCACTCAGTACTGCTGCTCCACCCACATTGCCTTGGCCTGCTCTTCTCCTGCCTCCTATGGGACCTGTGCAAACTTCCAACCCTGAAGATCATGTGGGCTCCTCCCTTCTTCCTGTCCACTGCCTTTGACCCAGTCCTGCATTATCTTTGTTGAGTAAAGGGCAAGAAGCATTGTCTTGCCCAGTGTAGCATCCCATGTCAGATGTCTTTGGAAAAATAATGGAATGTCCCACCCTAGCCATTTTGCTGTCCCCAAATCCTATAGCTTCCTTCTCACACAAATCCACTCTGCTACCTTCCTTGGTACATTAAACAGAGCTTCCCCAACTCAGAATGAAACATGTATAAATAGGCTGAAAATGAACTGAATGAAAAGTGAGGCTTCCCTGGCACTTGAGTGAGGTACCTAGAATCCAGTGGAAGTTGTCTTCTAATGGCCCAGAGCACAGGCTCTGCTCTTCTGAGATTAGGGCTGTGTGTGTGAAGTTCTAGGTCTAAGGAGGCGGGGCTCCCTATAGCACTCTGTGGTCTTGGGAATGGTCCAAAAATCTGTGGCTTTGGATAACAGTTATAAGCAGTGTGGGTTGGTCCTTGGGAGGATGGTTTTTTAAAGAATCCAGTATATCTTGTTCTTTTCAGCCCATCTAAAAACACCAGGGAAGATACCCACTCAAGCAAAGCCTCCCTTGCTTTGGAAGCTCTGATAAGTTCCTCCAGCAGGGTCTCCAGACACTAGCCCTATCATTTTCCTAGCAGAGAGGCTAGAGAGGGCAAGACAGGCTGTGGGAGAGGGAAGGAAGGCAGCAGGAGTCCATGAGCCCACCAGGTCTTCATGTCAAGGAAGGAATTAAAATATATCTTCTGTCCACAGGCCCAGCCCAAATACCTGCTCTGTCCAGCCCCTAATGCTCACAGGTTAACACATCACCCTGCTCCAGCCAGGCCACCTTGCAGCCACATCCATGCCCTGCACAAGGGACTGCTCCCAGCCACTGGATTGTACTGCTTCTATAGCCAGCAATCTGTGTATGCTACATGCTGTCTGAGGTGAATGCTACATCTGACTTCACCTCTAGATCTGTAAGCTCCTTGAGGGTGGGTGTCATATCTTGTTTTTCTCTTGTATTCTCTGCAGCACCTAGTGCACTGCTGGGTGCAGAGTAGGTGCTCAATAAAATCTTGTTGAATGGACAGCCTGTATTTATGTATATTTTATTATAACTCAGATATCACCAGGCCTTCTCAGACTAACTACAAAGGTTCCACTGACAGCAGTAGCCCAGGCCTTTTCTTCTGGGTCTTTCAGAACTCCTGCTTTGCTCTCTGTCCTTCATATATGCTGTCATTGCTGAAAGACCCCAAAGATCTCCCCATGGGACGCAGGCCAGTCAGTAGCAAGGTCCGGCATTTGTCTGTGATGGGGCTCTGTTGGGAAGGGTGTTGTCCACCATAACACTCCCAAAATCCTGTTTTGGAAAATAAACAGTACCCTGAAGGAAATGTAACCTAGAGATTCAGTCTGCCTCCTGACATCACTCTCTGATCATTTCTTGTCTTTTCTCTGATTTTTTTGTTTTGTTGCCCTGTTAAATATAGAAAAGAGGACTTATACAATGTACATTGGAGATTCACTGCACAAACAGTATGCTTATTCCCTGGACTCTCATTTGTGACGCATTAATGTTGCACCTTTTTGTTGTTTCTTTTCTAAATTCATATATACAAAATATGTGTTAGTTATTACAAGTAAGACATGCATTATCAGTTATAAGGCCCATTAATCCATATTTGAATCCTCATAGATAATAATCACTAGCATTTTTTTAATTGTTCAATTACAGTTGTCCCTATTTTCCCCCATTACTTGCCCCTGCCCTTCCCACCCCTCCACCTTCCACCTCCCACATTCAGCCTCTCCCCAGTTGTCCATGGGTCCTTTAAACATATTCCTTGGAGAATCAGGGTGGTGGAGGAGTGAGTGGAAGTCACACTGACCTCCTCCCAGGACCCATCTGGAATTAACTTGTGGAGCAATCACCTGGAACAAACAACTGAAAAATCGAGAGAGGAGCCTTCTAACCTCGGACAGACAGAAGAATCAGCTTTAGTGCAATATAACTGGTAAGGAGTGCAGTAGAATCTCAAGAAGGCAGGCGGCCGCACCAGAGGGATATTGAAAGGGCCAGTTAGATCCCCCTGAGAAGAGTGAGGGCTAAACCAAAAGTGGGGATCTCCAGCCTACAGCACCAGAAACCAAAAAGTACACAGAAAGGAGCCAGCTGCGAAAAGCGGCAGGGTTGCTCTCTGCCAGAAACAGGCAGCTGGAGACACAAAGAGCCATTTAAAGGGCCAACGCATAAATTTTTGTTCACAGCCTCTTACCCTGGTCTCTGGGAAAGGCAAGGGCAGAGTGGGCTAGAAATACCTGATGAGAGACTGGAGAAGGAGGCTTTGGGGAAACAGAGTAGCGGGTGGGATCCCAGTGCTGACTCATCCCCCATACGACAGGAGCCATCTTGCTCAGGCAGAGACCATTTCCCCTGAGTGGCAGCAGCATCGGAGGACCCAATAGCCCTCCCCGTAGGTGGGATTCTGCCCTGGCCTGTGCTGTCTAAACCACTGGCTGAGTGCATAGTGGCAGCCACAGAGAGTAGGTCCCTGGCTAAAGGGGGTGCAGAGTGGTCTGGAGACACTGGAGGAGAGAACAGAGTAGCTGGCAGGCTCCCAGTGCTGACTCCTCCCCATACTGCAACAGCCATCTGGCTCAGGCAGAGACCACTCCCCTGAGCAGCAGCTGTGGGAGAGGACCCAATAACACCACCTGCAGGAGGGATTCCACCTGCCCTGAGCTGTCTAAGCCAGCCTGCTGAGTGCAGAGTGACTAGATTAACAGCTGAAGGAGACAGCCACAGATAGTAGATGACTGGAAGTCTCAAACAGACTGCCTAAGGTCAGACAGGGACAATAGCAGACATCAACAGAAGCAGATCAGAAAGTAAAAACAGCAGTCTCCTTCCATAGAAGTTTACACCATAAAGTCAGGAAATCAAGACATCAATTTAAGGAGAAGCAAAAAAGAGTCTCACAAATAATAGGGAGACAAAGAAACACCCCCCACTCAAAGGGAAAGGAGAAATCCCCAGAAAGAGAACTAAATGAAACAGAGGCACGTAAACTATCAGATACTGAGTTCCAAACAACGGTTCTAAGAAAGCTCAATGAGCTCAGAGAGAATTACCAAAAAGTACAGGGAAACTATGAGGAACTTACTGCAAACTATAACATCATGAAAAAGGACATAGAAACTATCAATAAGAGACAAGAGGAAATGAAGAATACAATTTCTGAATTGAAGAACACAGTAGAAGGAATCAAAAGCAGGCTAGATGAACCTGAGCATTGAATCAGTGAGCTGGAGGACAAAGTTGAAAAAAGCTCCCAGAAAGAGCAAGAAAAGGGAAAAAAAGACTCAAAAAGAATGAAGAGGTATTGAGGGAAATGCAGGACAACCTGAAACAATAATATTTGTATAATAGGGATACCAGAAGGAGAAGAGGATGAGGAAAGGGTAGAGAACCTGTTTGAAAAAGTAATGATGAAAAACTTCCCTAATTGGAGGGGAGAAAAAGCCACACAAGTCCAGGAAGCACAGAGGGCCCCATTCAAGAGAACCCAGTGAGGCCCACTCCAAGACACGTCCTAATAAAATTGGGAAATATCAAAGACAAACAGAGAATCCTAAAGGAAGCAAGGGAGAAAGAAGTAGTAACATATAAGGGAGCCCCAGTACAGCTAGCAGCTGACTACTCAACAGAAACCCTGCAAGTCAGAAGGGAATGGCAAGAAATACTCCAAGTGATGAAAAGCAAAGGCCTGCAACCAAGACTGCTCTACCCAGCAAGGCTCTCAATTAAAATGGAAGGCAAAATAAGGAGTTTCCCAGACAAAAGAAAGCTAAAAGAATACACTTCCACCAAACCAGCACTGCAAAATATGCTAACGGGACTCCTTGAAGATGAAGAAACAAAGTATGAATACCCAGTTTCTTTCAGAGTTTCCAATACTTGATATTACCAATATTTTTAATATGTATTAATCTGATTGTGACAATGTTATTTTAATTGTTCCTTTATTATTTGTTTAAACTAAATGTGTTTTTATAGATTTCTTGCCTATTTCTATTGTTATTAAAAAGCTTTAAATGTCTTGGTATTCTTTATCCATTTATTGATTAAAGATTTGTAGAATTTTTTCCCTAAAAAAAACAAATATTAACCCTTTTTTAGATGTGTGGGAAATACATTACTTGCCTTTTAACTTTTAAAATATGTATACTACTACATAGTCTTAAATGTTTAATTTAGTCGTATTGTCAATGTTTTACTTTATAGCTCTGAGTTTGAATATTTTACTTCAGGTCATGAAAAATATTAGTCTGTATTTTCTCCTCAAACTCCTTAGATTCTACATATTGATTTTTAACTCACCTGAATATTTCTTGTATAATGTGTGAAATAGGGCTCTATATTTGTTCTGTTTCAAGTAATAGTGGTCCATGCACCTTATTTGTTGAATAAGCCTTATTTTCCCCATTGATTTGAAATATCAATTTAATCATACATTACACTGTTAGACAGAGATATATGTTTGTTTCTAGAATTCTTATTCTGTTTCATTGATCTACTTGATTATTTCTTTGTTGGTGTCATGTTTTAATTGCTGAGACTTTATAATGAATTTAAATTTTTTAATATTTTATAATTGACACATAAAAAATGAAATCAATCTGCATTAAAAAAATGAAAGAGAAAGAGAGATAGGAGAGAAAGAAAAGAAAGAAACTCCTACCTTTTATGACAACATGGATGGAACTGGAGAACATTATGCCAAGTGAAATAAGCCCATTGGTGACAAACAAATTCTATATGATCTCACCTATAAGTGGACTCTATTCAACAAAATAAACTAATGAACAAAATAAACTGCAGGCATGGAAACATGGAGCAGACTGAAGGTGACCAGAAGGGATGGGGAAAGAGGACAATGGTAGAAAGAAGGGGAAGGGACTAGGCAAAGAACATGTATGAATGACCCATGCACATGGACAACAGAGTGGGAATTGACTGTGGGAGCGGGGGGTTGGATGGGTGGATTGGGGCAAAGGGGGAAAAATTGAGACAGTTGCAATAGAATAAACATGATATAAAAATTAAAAAAAAATACTCCTTAATTGACCCTTCCCCTTTTTTCCCCCATTATACCTCTGCCCCCTCCCCTCTGGTAGCTGTCAGTTTCTTCTTTATTTCCATGTCTCTGGTTATGTTTTTCTCGCTTGTTTATTTTGTTGATTAGGTTCCAATATAGGTAAGATCATATGGTATTTGTCTTACCTCCTGGCTTATTTCATTTAGGATAATACTTTCCAGCTCTATCTATGTTTCCCTGAAAGGTAAGAGTTTTTTCTGCTGTGTGCTGTTCCATTACTGTTCCATTTTTGATCCACTCATTTACTGATGGGCACTTAGGCTATTTACAGCACTTGACTGTATTGTAAATAAAACACCAATGAACATTGGGGTGCAGAGGTTCTTTTGAATTGGTGTTTTAGGATTCTTAGGGTATAATCCCAGCAGTGGAATTGCTGGTTCAAAAGGCAGTTCCATTTTTAGTTTTATGAGGAAATTCCAAACTGTTTTCTACAGTGACAGCACCAGTCTGCATTCCCAACAGTGTACTAGGGTTCCCTTTTTTCCACAGCCTTGCCAGCACTTGTTGTTTGTTGATGATGGCCATTCTGACTGGTGTGAAGTGGTATCTCATTGTGGTTTTAATTTGCATCTCTCTGATGGCTAGTGATGCTGAGCATCCTTTCATATTTCTTTGGGCCCTCTGTATGTCCTCCTTGGGGAAGTGTCTGTTCAGGTCCTTTGCCCATTTTTTAATTGGATTGTTTGTGTTCCTGGATTGGAGTTGTGTGAGTTCTTTATATACTTTGGAGATCAAATCTTGTCCAAGATATCATTTGCAAATATATTTTCCCATACAGTTGGTTACCTTTTCATTTTGCTGATGTTTTCTTTAGTCATGCAGAAGCTTTTTAATTCATGTAGTCTCATGTATTTATTCTTTCCTTTATGTCCCTTGCTCTGGGAGACATATCAGTGAAAATATTGCTATGCGGAGTATCTGAGGTTTTCCTGCCTATGTTCTCATCTAGGACTTTCATGGTGTCACAACTTATGTTTAAGTATTATATCCATCTTGAGTTTATTTTTGTGTA